GGGGGGGTAGGGGGTGGAGGTGGGAGTTGAATTATCCTGATGCTAATGGGCTCAAGTTAAGGAAAAAAACTTTTCTACTTTTTGGGAGGTGACACAAAAAAATATCTGTTGTCTTTGAAAATAAAATCTATAAAATATTTTATATCTTGAAAAAGGAATCTAGGACACTGGCTGAAATAGCAAAGGCAGAACTTGATGGTACTATTTTGAAGAGCAGACCGCTTCGAATTCGATTTGCTACACATGGAGCTGCCCTAACTGTCAAGAATCTTTCACCTGTGGTTTCTAATGAGCTGCTGGAACAAGCATTCTCTCAATTTGGGCCAGTGGAAAGAGCTGTTGTTGTAGTAGATGATCGCGGCAGAGCTACAGGAAAAGGTTTCGTAGAGTTTGCAGCAAAACCTCCAGCACGGAAAGCTCTAGAAAGATGCAGTGATGGGGCATTCTTGCTAACAACGTAAGTGCACAGGCTTTTGTTTGAATTTGTGTGAGTATATCTTTCTGATCTGGAAGAAAACTACATTCATGGGTGTTCTGTAGTTCTTATTTTATTTTCAAGTTATGAAGGCCATGAGGTGAGAAATTAAGGTGTTTTACATGAATACACTGAATACTCCTGATGGGTGTTGTTTGTTTGTTTGTTTTTTTCAGGGAAACAATCGTTTTCTCCTTACTGTTTATAAGACTTGTAATTACCATATGGGAGTCTGATAGCAATATTTTGCTTTTCCTTCTCTGTATAGTAGGACCTTTTCTAGTGAGACTTCACTTTCATTGATTGCACTCTTCCTGATCCTAGTAACAATGTGACAAAACAATATTCCTCTGTTTCTTAGCAAAACAGTGCACTACATTTCTGATACTTATGTATACTCAGGAAAGCGTTCCTGTGTTTATTTCTACCTCAGAAGCCTTTTTTTGTGGCTTGAAAGGCTAGAAGTACTTGAAGTACTTTTTTTTTTCTTTTTTTGAAAATGAAGACTTAGATTCTGCAGAAGTTTATGGCAACAATCTCTGGAAAACTTTCTATTTGCAAGCAAGCTTGCAAATTACAGCACTTCTCTCTCTTGCAGCTCTTATTTCTGTACTTGCTGAAGAGAGTTGTTAACTGATGTGCTTTAACACATTCACTAGGGACATTTTCAAATGTTAGATATTCAGGATTTTTCTGATTTTCATTTGGGAAAATAAGGCTGTGGTTCCACAGCATGGAAGCTTGCTGCCATCAAATTGGGGAACTTGTAGTTCTTTTTCTCTTCCTGTCCTGGCTGTACTGTTGGTCTTTTAGCGACTTGAGAGCTTTCTGATACTTCCATAAGCCACTTGTGCTTGCTAAAACAACTGAAGAGTATTCAGTTGCTTTTGTTCATTTTTGGCTGTTTAAGCATGTGAAGGTCCTTGCTAACGTGGGTGCTATGAACATCAGGTCCAGCAGAGCATAAGGCAGGAGGAAATGTTGCCAGGAGGAGGTTGCAGGTGGGGAAAGGGTCTGGAACTCCTCTTCCTTGTGATAATCTCATAAATGTTGCGTGCCACTGAACTGACCTGGTGGCTGCAGAGTATATTCAATCTGAATACCTCTTTACTGTTATCAGTAGGTGCCAGCAATTTGTGCTTATCCCCTGGATTTCCTTGGCATTTGTATTTGAATGGAAGCATGGTGAGCCAAACCAGGGAACTAATCTAGTTCAGCGTTACATGAATGCTATTCGTGGCATGAGAGATGTGGGAGGGAAAAAGAAGCTGGGATATGAGGGAGGGTATTCTTGTTTTACCAGCTGGATAGATTAGTTGGATTGAAATGACCATCTAACTGTGGCCTGAGTGAACAAAAAGCACTTGATCTTTGTCTTGCTTAGGTGGCTGACACAGTTGCAAAGGTAATTAGCATGAATCTGTTGCCATGATACTTCTATACTTTGCTTCAGTATCTAAAATTTTGCATTTTTAGCTGAGAACTCTTTGCCTGATCAGAAGAAAATCTTTAAATTCATGGGCTAAATATATCAAAACATTTGAAACGTTAGAGTTGTTGTTTTAAATCATAACTTGTTAACACCACAGTTCAGTTGCATTTAAATAACAGAACTGCCAGCAATTTCCATGCAGATAACATCGGGAGAAAGAGTTGCTGAGTTGTGCTCTGTGATTTCAGACTTCATCTTTTTAATCTGCACTCGATACCCAAAGTTTTCTTTTTCAGCTGTCGCTGTTGTTAAAATATATTGATTTTTTTCTGTGAAAAGATCTCCAAAGTGAAGGGAAGGTGTGGAACACACGTTTTGAAAATCGTGTTTCTAGCTCTTGCTGCTTTAAGGTGTGTAGTATAGGCTATGCTAGCAAGACTGATGCAGAGAGCTTTTTACACAATTCAGAACCCTTATATTGCTGGTTTTGGCAGTACTGACTGATACTTGCCTCTGATTACTACAGATAATGAAAATTCATGGATGGTATTTTCAAAGATAAATTAGGATTCTGATTTGTGAGAGTATGGTTGTTCAAAGAATGGGTTTTAAGTAACTTTAGCAGAAATGTTTTTGTAATTATCACTGGAATATTAATGCCAAATTCTCAAGCTGTGTTCAGTTGTAGAGTAACTTTCAAAAGAAGCTTTTAATCTGTGGTAATATGAATAGGTTGCGTTTGTTCTCTTTTGGGTTTGGTGCTTTCCCAATACAGTCATGGTCCCTGTGTTGCCTCACTGTAAACAAAAAGGTAGTTCCTTCCAAAATACATTGTAATTGTTCTGATATATTTTTTTAATCTTTAAATACATCATATCAAACAGAACTACATCAAGTAGACTGTGGTTTCTATGCAGAATAGCGGGTTATGGGTATAGAAATAATTATTTTCAAAGATCATTCTTAAAATCAGGATTCATTGTAATTCTATGATTTAAGAAGAGTTTGCAAGACACAGGAATTATAGATAACATATGTTAGCTTTTTGGAGTGTTTTCTCAAAATACTAAAATAACTTTAGCTGCTTCATTTATGTTCAGTTATTAAATTGCAACTGTCTTCCAGAACACCTCGACCTGTTGTTGTAGAACCAATGGAGCAATTTGATGATGAAGATGGGCTCCCAGAGAAGCTAATGCAGAAAACACAACAGTATCACAAGTAAGTTGTGTTTAGCTTTATTTTATAAAACATGATCTATGCACTAGGCTTGGTAAATAAATGCTAATTTTTATTTTTGAGCTTGCGTAACAGGAAGTAGTGTTTTGTTTGTTGTGCTGTTTTGTGCCAAAGAATTAAGTAGGACCATGCCAAGATTTCCTAATCGTAATAAAATTCAGGCTCACCTTGTTGGTTTAACATTCTGTGCGTTTACTAAAGTAGATAGATTCCTGACCTACTCTGAAATCAGCTGGACCTTGTTGCCAGGCAAGGTATAGTCTTTTATGGGTTAGAGGTGTGGTCTAATCCTGCAGAGCTTTGTATAACCACAGGTTTTTTATTCTCTGAATAGCCCCTTAACTGTTCATAAAGTTAGTGGAGTGTAAATCTTTGCAGCTTCCAAGGTTCAGCTAAAACTTTGAGCATGACATGAGAAAGTGAGTCTTGATCATGAGGTGGAAGAGAAGTCACCTAATCTGACAATATTAATTTTTAATATTGAAATTTGACTGCCATTTAGAAATCATGTTGCTTGAAGCTAAAATGTTTATTCTGATAAGGCTGTAGAATACCACTTTTTAAAAACGTGTCAAATATTAGTGTTAATGTGTGAAATAAAATGTTGGAACCTTTTAATATTTAGAGATTCTGGATAATGTTTTGAGCTGTCTAATAAGGTTTGATATTTAAATAACTGGTTTTATAAATTGCTTGCTTTAGAGGGCTGGACACAATCTAGTGTTGCAGCTTAGTATTTTGTACTGATGTAAATGTGAATTTTATCTTAAAATTTTATAAATTGAAAAGATCTTTATTTGGACAATTTCTCTTACCACATTACTTGTCTTAACAGCTGAATTAAGCTTTGACTGGTTTAGAATGTAGTAATCTGACAGGTTGATTTAAAGTCAGATCTGCACTTGAAGTGATTGTTTATAGATTCTTTGGCTGTTAGAGCTGTTGATCTAAATGTGTCATTCTGTACATTTTAACAGCAAAATTTTTATTA